AAGTCTTTTAAGCGTTAACCATCACTATTCATAATAAATCCTATAATAACTTGACTATTAAAAGTTAAGATGATCATGATTGCTCATACCAATTCAACTTAGATGCCTTGAAAGAAAGAAGTGAGTGGAGGAGGAAGCCATGGTTTGTTTGGATATGTTGGTTTCGAACTTGTAGAAATTCATGAAAGTGAAGGGCTTTTATAGACAATTATATTCAGTTCATCTGCTAAGGAAAAGGGCAAAAGCTTGTCCCTTTTGAACCCAAGTATCACACAAGTCTTTTAAGCGTTAATCATCACTATTCATAATAAATCCTATAATAACTTGACTTTTAAATGTTAAGATGATCATGATTGCTGATACCAATTCAACCCAAATGCCTTGAAAGAAAGAAGTGAGTGGAGGAGGAAGCCATGGTTTGTTTGGATATGTTGGTTTTGAACTTGTAGAAATTCATGAAAGTGAAGGGCTTTTATAGACAATTATATTCAGTTCATCTGCTAAGGAAAAGGGCAAAAGCTTGGCCCTTTTGAACCCACGTATCACACAAGTCTTTTAAGCGTTAACCATCACTATTCATAATAAATTGTATAATAACTTGACTATTAAATGTTAAGATGATCATGATTGCTGATACCAATTCAACCCAGATGCCCTGAAAGAAAGAAGTGGGTGGAGGAGGAAGCCATGGTTTGTTTGGATATGTTGGTTTTGAACTTGTAGAAATTCATGTAAGTGAAGGGCTTTTATAAACAATTATATTCAGTTCATCTGCTAAGGAAAAAGGACAAAAGCTTGGCTCTTTTGAACCCACGTGTCACACAAGTCTTTTAAGCGTTAACCATCACTATTCATAATAAATCCTATAATAACTTGACTTTTAAATGTTATTTAAACAATTGAAATTAAATGATTTGACTAAACTAAATAACTAAACTAATTAACGAAAAACTAAATTGACTTTAAGTAATATCAAAAGTTAAAATTCTAAGGCATCCGATTTCACCATAATCAACTAATATAGAATTTCAACTAATATAGAATTTAGACTAATATACTTTCAGGGTGTTTATTATTTATATGACAGCGGAATTTCCTATCCTATTTAATATATTTTCTCAAGTTACACCAAATCTATCTTCATCTATTAACCCACTATATCTCTATGTGAATTTAAATAGATAAAGATATATTATATTCTGTTAAATTCCTTAGTTTACATGGAAAATTAAGTCCACTTATCACCAATGCTGCACAAATCATGTTGGTCCATCTCTGACTTTCGTTCAATTCATGGTATATATTACTAAAAACTATTGTATAAAATCTCTTCTTGGTCTCAATTATGCTCTCCAGATCAATTTTAATGGTGGCCAATCATTAAAAAGCATTAAGAACAATAATATATACTCTACATAAAATAATAAATCTTGAAAGTATAAAAATGATAAAACTCTATATGAAATTGATCAAGCTACATCATAACCTTAGATGGCAAATCAGTTCATAATTAAAGAAAAGAGAATCAACAATCTTATGATGAATATATGAGTATCCAACATCATAAAATAAAATTCAAGGACACGCAAAATCAGTTTGACGATATAAAATTTCAAGTCTTGATCTTCTTTTGTTGTTGAATTTCTCTTAACCGTTTCTCTTGGCCTCCTCTTAAAAGCCCTTGGAACTGATTTTTGAATGGATATTTATAGAGTTGAAGAAACCCTATTAGAAGAGAAGTAGGACTTAGGAAAATAGGAAATTGGGATTTTTTTGGATGCTGAACGTATAGTGCCAACACTCTTAATTACGTATCGACACAGAATAGGAAACAGAATCTGTATTTCTGGATGCGTAACGCATAGTGTCAACACCCCTATTATGTGTCGACACCATACCCGTATCGGGTTTTGGCCTCTTTTGCAATTTCTTTAATGGTAAAATTTCGGATATGATCCTCCAGGTTTTGTAAGATGAGCACTGAGATCTCGAAACTTAAGATTCATTCATTTAGGTCCCAAAGAAGTCTCTTTCTTCTTGCAGTTCAGTCCTTCAACTTCTAAAAGATGCTCAATTAATTCCAAAAACTCCTATTATTATGCATCCAAGTCCTTTTCTGCACAAAGAATGAAACCCATGTAAAATCTCATAAAATTCTTCTAAATATTAATAATGTCAAGGCAAAAATTCAACATTAATATGTATATAAATTTAGCTTATGAATGGTCTTCTGTACATTTATTTTTTTAAAAAAAAAAAGAACAAATCATGCATATACAACCAAAGATTCACATGCCTCCACCAAAACTTCACACCTTTCTCAAATTGCATTTTTTTAATGATAAGTTGCATTTTCACATTAATGAATACATTCAAGTAGAGTTTTTTATTTTTTATTTTTTTTATGGACAGATGAATTTTATTAAGCGGGGTACAAGCAGTACCCCAACACATATACATTTCAACCAATCTCAAAAGACACCTTAGTCCACAAGACATTCCTAGCAGAAAAAACACTTACGAAACCCTTCACACTAATGCACTTCCATTGATTTCTAAGATGCCCCTCGGTATTTGCTCTGCCCAATAAGATGGGAATGGACACCAGCTAGCAAAATCATAGCCTAAACTCTGGTATTTTCCTCTATCCAGTGAGGGGATCTTGCCTGGATCAATTCAAGCAGATTTAAATTACATACTATACTATATTGGTCATGCATTGAACTTGATAATATACATTGGTCTTTAACTCGACTTGTAATCCACACAAACAGAGACAAGAAGAAAAAAGAAACATACAAATGAAATACTAGCACGGCCAAAATATATCATTTTCACTACATTCTCCTACATTCAATCTTTCACACCCCCTTATTTGCCTTCCTCGGCTACCTGATTTGAAAAGTCTTCATGAACCATTCATGTCCTCTTGTGTAAACCACGTTTCCAATGACCACACCAATTGTTAGAAGTGTCGTTTTGCATTGTAACTCTCCTCAATTAATGTGGTAGGTGTGCTTGTGTCTTTAATAGTTGGTTGGGGTTGAGATTTGATGCTGAGATTACAAACTGCAATTTGAATATGAAAACTACAATTTGAATATGACAACTCTCCAGCAAACATGGATTAAATGTAATTCTTTGTACTGTTGAGGGAATACTAAGCAATGTAATCCCTTTTTTTTTTTTTTTATTTAAGCTACCCTTGTTTGAAAAATCACAAGAAGAAATGAAAGAGAGAAAGGGTTAGAAAAATGGAAATCCAAACCCGTATTTTCAAAATTTGAGTTCTTGTTCTTTGATCTTCTTCATCCAAAAATCTATTACCTTATAATGCAACTCATCAATTTATTTCAAACTATGAATGAATGAAAAATTTGAGCTCACATACTCAAAAAAACCTAATTCAAATCTCATTTTCTTCCATTGCATGTTTTCATAGCTCAATCTTTGAGCTAATGCATGCTCATTTTAATACACATTCTTTGCGATAAAAAA